AAATAATATAACCCCAAAAATAACTCTAATCAGTAATCACAACAATACTAATAAACCAAACAAAAATCCCCCCAAATTAAACGCTTTCTTTAAATAAACTTTCTCCACTTTTCACTCTAGACCCTCCATTCGCCAACAAAAGCAAACTCATCCCATCCCTCCCCGACTCCCGATACCCACCACCATGAGAGAAATCTTGCACATCCAGGGCGGCCAATGCGGCAACCAGATCGGCGCTAAGTTCTGGGAGGTCATCTGCGACGAGCATGGTATTGACCACACCGGAAAGTACAGTGGCGACTCCGATCTGCAGCTCGAGCGTATCAATGTCTACTACAATGAGGCCAGTGGCGGCAGGTACGTTCCGCGCGCCGTGCTTATGGATCTGGAGCCTGGAACCATGGACTCGGTCAGATCTGGACCTTTTGGCCAGATCTTTAGGCCGGATAACTTCGTCTTCGGACAGTCTGGCGCTGGGAATAACTGGGCCAAGGGCCATTACACGGAGGGAGCGGAGCTCATCGATTCCGTTCTTGATGTTGTGAGGAAGGAGGCTGAGAATTGTGATTGCTTGCAGGGTATGGCCAAGAAATTTTTGTACCATTTTTTGTTCCCCAAAAATCTTTTTTAAATTATTTTTTTCTACAATTTTCTACAATTTTCTTTTTGTTTGGTTGTTTCTCTATTTAGTTCTGGCTAGGGATCGGTTTAGGTTTTTTTTTTTTTTATTCAATTGGTCCTGTTTCTTTGTCGTTCTTTGCTTTATGAAGAGATTTCTTCACATTTTAACGAAGTATCAACTTGTAAGGAAATGAATTATCTATTAAAGCTCATATTCATGCTGCAGCGAACACAATATTTGTATACTTATGGTTTTGTATGCTACTGATCTGGGGTTTCAATCAGAGTATTGGTGAAAATTGAAATTAATGCTATTCGTGTTGGTTCTGTATAATTTTTTTTAAAAGGATTGATGATGCATTTTGCAACATGAGTTTGGATATTGTATAATTTTGCATTTGGCTTAATGCCTGTATTTATTTAGATATTCCCTGTCAGAGTTGGAAATTTTTGTGTGCAGTGTTTTTTTTTTTCTTTCTTAATTCCAAAACTGTACTCGCTGTATTGTGTAAATATTTCTATAATTTCCCCTTTCTTTCTTTGTTCACTTAAATTTTTTTCAGTCTTTTGTCATCATCTATCGAATATAATGATTTTAAATGTTAGTTTTCTGCTTTGAATTCACACTTTGTATGTCTCTTCATAGGATTTCAAGTTTGTCATTCCTTGGGAGGAGGCACTGGGTCTGGCATGGGAACCCTTCTTATTTCCAAGATAAGGGAGGAGTACCCAGATCGAATGATGTTGACATTTTCTGTCTTCCCTTCGCCTAAGGTGTCTGATACAGTTGTTGAGCCGTACAATGCTACCCTCTCTGTGCATCAGCTTGTTGAGAATGCCGATGAATGTATGGTCTTGGATAATGAGGCTCTCTATGACATCTGCTTCCGCACTCTAAAGCTTGCCACACCCACTTGTAAGTAGAAATTGTGTTATAAATTATAAATTATTTATTTTTGATGTATTCTATTGGTCTCTAGCTATCTACATTTTCCGTTAGTTAAAATGATATATATATATATATATATATTTGTTTCAAAAGTTTTGTGAAATGAATTGTGAATGCTCAATTATTAGATTAAGTTTTTGACCTACGATTGATCATAATTTTATTTTTTATTGATTAAGTTGCTTGCTAGATATCTCTTATTAAAGAGTTGGTTGCATGAGCCCTTAGCTGTGCTGTCTACTCTAGTTCTGATTATTATTGATGACTATTATTTCATCTGTCCCACAGGGTCACTCCCAACATTTATCATTGTCCCTACAAATAAGGAACAGAATTGCATATTCTGACATAATTATTTTTCTGAATGTTTATATTTGTTATCTATATTTGAATGAAAATTACTTTTCCTTTCTTCATCTATGGCCTACTTCCATGAGAAATGAATCTTGTCCTTATATATTTCTCCCATCTCTTGCCAGTTGGTGACCTTAACCACCTTATCTCCGCAACCATGAGTGGCGTCACATGCTGCCTCCGTTTTCCTGGGCAGTTGAACTCTGATCTGCGGAAGCTTGCTGTTAATCTTATCCCATTCCCACGTCTCCACTTCTTCATGGTTGGCTTTGCACCCTTGACATCTAGAGGGTCACAGCAGTACCGGGCTCTGACTGTGCCTGAGTTGACACAGCAGATGTGGGATGCAAAGAACATGATGTGTGCTGCAGACCCACGCCATGGCCGCTACTTAACTGCTTCTGCAATGTTCCGTGGCAAGATGAGTACCAAGGAGGTTGATGAACAGATGATTAACGTCCAAAACAAGAACTCATCATACTTTGTTGAATGGATCCCCAACAATGTCAAGTCCAGTGTGTGTGACATCCCACCCAAGGGTCTGAAAATGGCATCCACTTTCATTGGAAACTCAACTTCAATCCAGGAGATGTTTAGGAGGGTTAGCGAGCAGTTCACTGCAATGTTCAGGAGAAAAGCTTTCTTGCACTGGTACACTGGGGAGGGCATGGATGAAATGGAGTTCACTGAGGCTGAGAGTAACATGAATGATCTGGTTGCAGAGTACCAGCAATACCAGGATGCAACTGCTGATGATGAGGAGTACGAGGACGAAGAGGAGGAGGAGGTTGGAGCTTGAGGTATCTTGTAATCTTTTCAGTTACTGTCTGAAAATTGTAGCTTTGTTGGCTCTCTTGTGATTTGATGATGTTTGTGTTGTTGAGGGGTCAAATTAGATTGACTTGCTGGTGTCTATGGATTATGGGTCTTGTATGAGAGATGGGGTTTTGTGACTTTTCTTTTGTTTTATTTAATGATGATGCTTGTACTTTATATGGAGTAGATTGTTATATGATTGGAGGGAAAATATGTTTATCCAAGGTACATGGTAGAATTTCAAATAGTTATCTGGTGTATGTTCCTCTTTCCTCTCCTTCTGAAATTTGAAATTTATGCCCCTTATGGTGAAATATGGGATAATGTCTTTTATTACTTTTAATTACATTATTTACAATTGAATTTGGAAGGCATATTAATCAAGGGCTAACAAACAAAGAGAGCTCATTTTTCAAATGCTTAAACCTGAACATATACTTCAAATGCTGGGGATTACTCTGTATGTGACAAACCCGAAATTAAACTCAAATAACAGTACCCTGCTTTCTTTTCTCTACATGAAAACCGATACTAGAGAATCTCCAATTGAGAAGATGGGGGTAAACTTGATTCTAGCTCCTTAGCACAGGCTAGTACTAGAGAGTTGAGCTCAACAAACGTATATTCATACATGTGGTCACCAACTTCTCGAGTAACTCGATTGTTCTAAGGAAACAGAGCATCGGCTCATTTTCACACCTATAACCTCCAAAACCATGCGGTTCGACCACTTTCAGGCACTGATGTGGTTGATGGGCTTGTGTAAATATGTGACAATAACATTACTTGTATATTTCACATCATAGATGTATATGCTTTTGGTTTTTATATCTTTTCCAGCTGGAGATGGTATCATGATCAAAGAGAAACGGCTTTACTAGTTGGAGCTTTACCTTCCCTTCCAATTTCCTGTTGGTTCTTTCTGTAAAGATTGGGATGGGACAATTGAGTTGTTTTCTCAGTGCCGTGTAATGGGGCAAACGAGGTTTTCCAAGGCCTTTCTTTTCTTTTTAGTCTTCTTAACTCCCTTTTGTTGTACAAAGAATGCTCCTACTTTGTCTTAAAAGATCATACAACACCCAAGCTATCTTTCTTCTTTTGCTTTGTATTGACTTTTAACAGTAGTCCAGTGCAATACAAGCATATGTAGTTGAGAGATATAGCTTAAAAACCTGGCAATGTTATCAAACAAATGCCCGCCCCCTACAGAAAGCTCTGCGAGACAACGAGTGTTAACAAACATGCTTATTCTTGGTCCACAATATTTCAATAACGCAAGATTTGGTGCTGAAATCCAGATAACCTTCAAGAAGTGGCAATCTTTAATCTTCAAGCACTTCAACTTGAGGGAGGAACCACAAATTTTCAGATGCACAAGAGATTCTGAAGCTGTCAAACTTAACTCTTGAAGAAATGGGCAGCAGGAAAAAAAATATACTGAGCAGCCTTACCAGTAACTCCCAACGCATTCAAACAGAGAACTGTTAAGGAAGCGAGGTTGTGATTGCAAAGAGTTTAATTAGTAGCAAGATTGCAGTTTCGGCGCTAGAAACTTAGGGGAATTTATTTAACTCTGAGAATGCTGCAAAACAAATTTAGGGGAAAAAAAATGAGAAAGAGAAAGGATATAGGTACAAGTGTTGGTAGGGTCAAATAAAATGTTGTTTCTAGTCTTGCAACCCGCTAGCTAAGCAAAAAAACAGGTAAAGGATAACACTGTTTCTGATCCACCTTTCAGCATACAATTTGTATGGTACATAACAAGGTAACATCCCTTCAGTACAATTCAGAAAAAATTATTTAAGCATGAAAAAATTGCACTATTCTTAATACAAACTCTATTCTAACTCTCAAAAAGTTAAAAAATTATTTAAGATTACCACAATTCCTACCCTAGATTCTATATTGTTTTTCTCTTTTTTGGCCAAATCATCAAGTTCTATGTTGGGTTCCATTCCAGTAAGTTAAGTTGTTTTATTAAATCCAAATCATCAATTAAGACATCCCAAACAATTGGAAAATGCCTGTTATCAGCATTCCAACCTTTTCAATGCGTTGTTCCTTAATCGAAAATTCAGAACTTGAACAAAGGAGACCCAAATATGAAAATGTAAATTAAAAGATAAAAGAAACCCAAACTCAACTCTGCCTGCATGCACTAATTGCAAGTTGCAACTGCATAAGAAAATGACGATAGAACAGATGAAGTGAAATGGAGGCAGTCCCAACGTCCCCATCCAAGCTGTTGGCACAATAGTTCAATACCCTAATTGGACCATAAAGACTAACACAAGCCCAACTCCTAAGGCTTTAGAAAGAAAGCCTACCCAAGGATACTTGGAACTGGTGGGATCCTG